AACACCAGGAGGGAAACCAGCCTCCTTGATAAGAGATGCAACATAAAGAGCACTCAATGGGGTCTGCTCCGCCGGTTTCATGACAACGGTACAACCGCAGGCAAGAGCCGGTCCCAGTTTCCATGCCTGCATCACAAGAGGGAAGTTCCATGGGATTATTTGTCCACAGACACCAATCGGCTCGTGACGTGTCATGGACATGTACGGACCATCCAGAGGTATCGTTTTACCAAATATCTTGTCAGACCATCCGGAATAGTAACGATAGCAGCGTATGGCGAGCTCCAGGTCTCCGGCCATAGCAACGTGGAATGGTTTCCCATTGTCAAGTGTCTCTAGTTTGGCCAAATATTCCCTGTCCCTCTCAATCAGGTCGGCGAGTTTACCAATGAGCCTTCCTCTCTCAGAGGCATCCATTGTACGCCAGACACTACCAAGCTTGAATGCTTCCCTTGCTGCATCAACAGCTTTATCAACGTCAGCCTTGTCTCCTTCAGAGACATCACATATCTTCTCTCCATCAGTAGGATTGATGGTAGGGAAGGTCTTGCCACTCACAGAATCAACCCATTCATTGTTAATGAACAACTTTGTGTATTTGACCTCTGGACGAGAAGACATGTTGGAGCTCGCTTCTTTGTGCTTTCTAACCTCTGCCTCACGTGTGAATTGACTAAATTCACACAAAACACCCCCACTCTGCCCCCTTTGTGCGTGGGAGTTTAAAAGTTTTGGGTGGGGCTCGTAACTTGAGGGCGTGGTGATTGACTTTTAATTAACATTAACACTTTGCTGATAAAGTGATAATTGCAAAGATGGCGACCAGTTCTGAAGGGAAGATACTCCAGCACACTCGCCACGGTCTCCGTATGGTTGGTAAGAAGGCCTCCTTCTTCGACCTCCCTGAGCCCATATGGCATCCGGACGAAAAGGTAAAACCCACACGCACTTTTCATTTTATATTCCTCTCCCAGCGTCCTGTGAATATTTGACATATTTCAGTTCCTTTCTCTCTCTGTCTCTCTTTTCTCTCATTCATCCAGAGTGCCGTTTGTGATAATTGTAAAAACAAGTTTACTATTACTCACAGAAGAGTAAGTGTCCTTCCTCTTCCATCCTCCTCCTATTACTCCCACTTTTCTACCTCTTCATGCTCTTTCTATCACTTTATCTCTATATTATCTTTCTTTTTCTGACAGCATCATTGTCGGAGATGCGGTAGTGTGATATGCAGCGATTGCTCAGAGAAGCAGACTCTAAGAAGGATGGGTTTCGTTGATCCAGTCCTAGTCTGCTTGCACTGTGCACGACTGTGTCAAGGGGAGGAAGAGTTCTACAAGCATCATTTGAAAATACTAGAAAATGGTTGGTTGGTTCGTTGGTCGATTGGAATTATTATCATAATGTAGCTCATCATAATGTACATGTAGCTTTATGGCAAGCATAAGCATCATCATTTTAATTCCTAATTGTGTATGTTTATTATGTACATGTACATGAATGTTCCTTTTTGTGTTGTCTCTATGTCTTATCATAATACTGATTGTGTGTTTACTGTGTATGTACAATATGTCATTTTTTGTTTGTGAGTGGGTGTCTGTCAATACCAATGAATACAATGGTTGATAGTTGAGGCTAAAGAAGGTAGTAATGATTGACACTTTGCCCAGTGTGTAGTATGTCTACAAATGTCTATGTTTACTGTACATGACATAGGAAGTTAGGAACACCTTAATCATTATCTTAATTATGTACTAATGCTTGCCATGCCTATGGGTAATTACCCTTGAAATAGCTTCACAAATTAATTTGTTCACTTTTATCATGTCATTGATAATACCGTAGGGCGCCTTTTTTTCGAGGGCTATAAATTTCGCGGATTTCGCGATTTTTTAAAGATTCGCGAAAATTACTTTCACGAAAATCAAATCAATACGGTACAAGATGGCAGACGGCATAAATTCGCGAAAATTAAATCCGCGAAATAAAAATCCACGAAATTCATAGCCCTCGAAAAAAAGGCGCCCTACGGTAATTATCGTTTCATTTTCCAGGTGCATATTTTGAACTATCTGATGCTGACGGCATACATAATTGCAAGCTCAGTAGCGATCATTTTCAAATTATTGTCACTGGGGGGAGTGGCTCTCACCCTTCATTGCTCATGTCCTCTATAATGGAAATTAAATCCATCACTGGCCATGCCCCTGACGGTAAGTGGGCGTTGTCTATAAATAAACAAATAATTGGACGAAGCCCACTGTGATGAAGAGAGTCAGTTTGTCTGTATTTATGTACCACGCGTACGGTCGTGTAACTATTGTTAAAAGTTAAATAGCCTAATCTTCATTGGAAGCAGGTGTGGTCACAACGAAATAAAGTGGCGGCTATCAGCAAGCCTGTGCTCATTGCAGCAAAGAAATGCGAAACAATCAACAAGATAAGACTATAAAGTGTTATCTGAATACTTCTCTAGCAGCAAGAAAGGTCATGTAGCACAACAATAGCGTCACTTGGGGGCTGACTGAGCCACATAATGTTTTACATTCTTCTAGTAAAATATTTATTATTAGGTACACCTACAAATAAGTTGAATGGTCTAAAGTTGACGTATAGAAGTGACACTGAAGATGGGGAAGAGATAGACGTTACTCTCTCCCCCTCTCCATCTCACTCCCGCAAGCAGTCCATCGATTGGCTTAAAGGACTGAAAAAGGTTTAAGACCCTCTCATTGCTATGCTATTCATTAATTTCATTAATTATAGGGGCTGATGATCATTCATGCTAGAGAGAGGGGCAATTCGTGTCTTGTAGAGTCAAATTAAAAATTAAAAGAGATTATATTATTATTGTTGTTATTTTTGTTATTGTTATTGTTATAGCTTCCTTCAGAATATATTTTTGTGCTTTGTTATGTTAAGAGAAATGTCCTTAATGTTCTTTTTAATGTTTTTTTTGTGCAGTAAAAATTCTGCAATAAATTAAATTGATAATTATTAATTATGTTGGGCGGTGTAGTGGGCGTTGGCCACACGTGTAGTAGATAAAAATGGTGAGTTCTTGACATTCAGAAAGGGATTATTTATATTTTCTTTATTCAGGGTAAAGATAAGAAGGCGAGGAAATATTCAGTAATGAAAAAGATGCTCTCTGTCAGAGATGCCAGAATGTAAGCTTCCACCATTGCGTTTATAAATGATGGTCACTTTTAATTTCATAGAAAAGCTAACCAGAAGAAGGAAGAAGAGAAGAAAAAGAAAATTGAAGAACAGAAAATACGACAAGTGTGAGCAACACAGAAATTTTAAGTTGAAGCTAATTTTGTGCATGAAATGAAAATATTTATCTTTATTTGTAGTCCTCAAGTTCCTTCTTCATTATTTTTTGCGTATAACGATCAGTTGGGCCCTCCCTATTATGTCATTGTGGACACTAACTTTGTCAATTTTTCCATTAAAAACAAGCTGGACCTTTTCCAATCAATGATTGATTGTCTATATGCTAAATGTATGTTTGTCTTTATTGTCCCTTCTATTTTTACTTCTCTCTTCCTTTATAAAAGGCGTCCCACACATAACTGATTGCGTTGCAGGTGAATTGGAAAAACTTGGCACCAAATTCAGAGTTGCACAAAAGTATGTCAACCTGTCAATCCTCTGCATTCTATTTATTAATCACACTTCCTCACTCCCTCTCATAAATACAGGATTATCAGTGACCCTCGGTTTGAGAGGCTCCCTTGCCTACACAAAGGAACCTATGCCGATGACTGCATAGTCGACAGAGTGACGCAGCATCGTTGTTATATAGTGGCTACGTGTGATAGAGATTTAAAGAGAAGACTGAGGAAGATACCGGGAGTACCCATAATGTACATATCAAAGAATCGCTATAGTATTGAGAGGATGCCTGATGCTTTTGGAGGTAAGACATGTACCACGTTTGCACCTGTTTTGAAATTAATACTCTTTTGTGATAGCACCAAGAACTTGATTGAATCTAATGACAAAAAGATAACTGTATTCTATTGTTCAAATATACATCTTAACAATCAATTGATGAATGTACTATTAACTAATAATGTATGTGTACATTAGCACTCACACACACACACACCTGGAGTAACTATTAATTTATTATGTAAATCATTTTCTTCTAAAGAAATTCATAAAGCGATTCAAAGCTCCTGCACTAGCTCCTCCCTCAACCCCAAGACTTGGTGAACTTGTGAGTGATGTAAAAGAACCTTTTCGTACAAGGGCACCTCCATTAGACCCTCCTTTGTCTAACTCCAGGATGCTGTCCATGCTGTTGTATATAGACTTCCTTTTCAAGCTCCCGCACTGTGCGCTCTCAATCCTCTGTGGTGGGATGGGTGGTGTGGAGCCCGTGAATGGAGGGGTCATTTGTCTCCCTTCCTCGTGGTCAAGGAAGGGACGAGGCGAGTGTAAAAGAGGATGCTCCTCGTCATCTTCAGGTGTCATTGCTTTCATAGACATTATGCCAGCTAGTATTGCAGTTGGAATGGCAATCATTGGACCATGGGGACTCCAAGGAGGTGTGAAATCCCGTTCTTGAAAAGGCTCAGGCTTCCTCTCATATGTCCTCTTTGGTTTTGGTTTAAATGGAGGAGGAGGAGGAGGTGGAGGAGGAGGAGGAGGAGGAGGGAAGGGAGCATTGCTCTTGCTGTCTTTCCTTTTCAGTGTCTTTGGTTGTTTAGTTTCAGTTACTGGTTGGGTTGGTATGGACTCTTGTGTCTGCACCAAGTGCTCAAATAATGCTTTCTTTTGACCAAATTCTTTATCACTTGATTTATCACTGAAGGATCCATAAGTTTTATTCCGAGAAGACTTGGTTCCTTCTCCTCCCTTTTGACTCAATTTTGAAGACACTTTATGAGGTAAGGCATAAATGGATCCTTCACTAGTCTGATACCTAATGACAGGAGGAGGTGGTGGGCTACTGGTTGCTTCCTCTTCTTCATAACTAGTGGTGGTGCTAATCCATGACTCCTGACTATCAAATTTCACCTTTCTCTCGTGAAGCACTGATTTGACTCCTGTAGGCCCATTCTCTCTGTATCCTTTACCATTGAACTGATCCTGCCTTAGCGAAGAATAAGATGACGGCTGCTGCTGATTGTGATTGGGCGTAAATCCTGATGTTGTGGTAAGTGGTTTAGGGAACTGAACAGAACGTACAATTGGGCAAGCTCTTGAAACATCAGATTCCTTGATTATTGGACTAGTCTATATGTGCATGTATGCAGGAAAGAAATTATGATGAATTATAGTGATAAATACATACTGGTGGCTGTAGGAATACTCCTGCTAGTCTGTTGTCACAGTAGAAAGTTACTGCAGTTGGAATGTCATCAAACCTATAATTATTGACTGTGCATGAGTTCTCCTCAGAAAGAACAACCGGAAAGTGAACAATTTGTCCTTCAACCCCACTGCATGCAAATAGGATAAGTATTGGTCATTTAATAATTAGGAGCTTACAGGACTGAGAGGACATAGTCTGCCTCTGGTAGCAGTGAGTCTCTTAACAGGAAACTACCAAGTGATCCAAGTTTGGTTAAGATTTCTTCAGCTTTTCTCTCACTAACTGGCCCAACATACCAACTAAAGAAAAAAAGAGAGGAGAGTGATAAAAAAAAACATTCATGTATCCACTTACAGCTGTTTCTCTAACAAAGCAAGAGCAGTCTGAGCTCTTCTTAGTGCCATTATTCTGGATGATTTCCTTGATCTTGCAGTGTTGGCATTTTGCAACTGGCCCTCACTATCAACGTGACTTAATATACCTTTAGAAGGAACAGACATGACCTTCTGGTGACACTATAGTCTCTAAGAGGCTGTAGCAAGTGTGAAACATCCTTTGCAATTAAGTACTCAATGTTCAAGGAACACCTGCACTCCTGCAGGTATGCATTTTCCAGCAATGAATGGGTGGAGCTCATTAAATTTATTAGGTATTAACCACACCCAATTCATGAAAAATGGAGAAAGAGGTCGAGTCAGAAATTCCTGCTGTTGCTAGCGATAGAGAGGACAGCGAGAGTCGTGAGCTAACAGAAAAGCCACAAGAAGACACAGCAGAGGATGAAGAGCCAGAGGATACTGGGTTTGAGTGTTCCAGGGCCTACTTCACCCGCTTATTCTGTAACCTGAACATCTACAACCAAGCCTTCATCCTATTTGCTCTTGTAATGACATACATACTCGTTGGTGGTGCCATATTTCTAGCCTTTGAGCTACCGGCAGAGACAAAACGAAATGAGGCCATAACAGCAGCCAATGAAACATACATTAGGGCCTTCAACAATATAGTGGATCAACTGGTGAACTTTACCAACCTAACAGAAGAGGAGGCTATGGCTTTAGTAAGGAGGGTAGCACAGTCAGCCATTGATGCATCAAACAATCAGCCGACTAACAACTGGGAGTATGGATCGGCTATCTTCTTTGCCACAACTGTTATTACAACAATCGGTAATTATTTGAAATGAATTCTCACACCTCATTCATGTCATTTTTAATATCCTTTTAACAGGTTATGGTTCCATTGCTCCTGAGACTGATGGTGGACGTGGTTTCTTCATACCCTATGCACTGGTTGGTATACCCCTCACTTTGATATTCCTTGGGTTCTTGGGACAAGTACTTAACAAAGGAGTCGACCGAGCCACAAGATGTCTCAGAAGACGAGTTACGTTTGATTGGGGACAAATATTGGTCGTATTTACCATCGGATTGGTGAGCTTCATCTTCATACCTGCTATTATATTTGCTATCATTGATGACTGGACCTACTTTGAAGCAGTTTATTTCACTTTTGTGTCTCTCACTACAGTCGGTTTCGGTGATTTTGTTCCAACTGCCCCAAAGACATTCCGTGGGCTCTATCGGTTTAGTCTTATCTGTTGGTTGTTCCTTGGACTTGCATTCATAGCCCTCATCATTGCCCAGACACAGGAACGGATTGAGAATGTGAGAGAGAGTGTTAAGAAATGCAGAAAATGCATAAAGAGAACAGGAGGAAAGCTCATGCTGAGGAAAAAGAACAAAGAAAGTAGCAAAGATAATGAAAAAACAGAAGAGACTGAAGGAGAGAAGGAGTGACAGTCTTAACACAGAATCTTTAATATTTTCTGACAAGTATTATCTTTAATCTTTATTTTTAATTAATTTTATGCTTTGATTTTCTCTTATTATCTATAAAATGAGGAGATAATAACTATTATGATGATATAAATAACTGGAACTAACTCAAAGTCACAACTTGTTCCATTCCTTCCCATAGTTCATTCTCACTATCATCAGTGCTGCTAGCATCAGCATCTTCAGACACTTTCCCTCTCTTTCTTTTCTTTCCAACTCTTACTCTCTCCTTCAATAATAATTAATAATGCATCATACAATAAACTTAATAAACTCAGTATTGCCTCACTTTTCCATCTTGTTCCTCCCCATCAGTGTCTTCTTTATCAGAGTTTGTGTGGAGCCCTGACATTAGGACTTGGTTACAAATAAGTTTCATGTATGCCTAATTAATCACAATCATCAATGCACGATTGACTGCTAATAGAATTAAAGACAATGTTGCCAAACAGTAAAAGTAAATGTAAATGTAATTGTAACAGTAAATGTAATTGCACAGTAACAGCATGTGCATTATGTCACTACTGTACCTTGTGTATGATTTGAGGTGGCTCAGTTCTGTATACTCTTAAATATCTATCCAGTCCACAAGCAGCAAACACATTGTCATCTTCACCAGACCAGCTGCTTATACTAGTCACTGAACCGCCAAATCCATGATACCGATTCAGGACAGTTCCTGATAAATTAATGATAAAAATAATAGCACATCATATTATTTCCATTCTGATACATATTGATGTCTTTATGCTATGTGAAAGGTTTGAGCCAATTCTAACTGAAAAAGCTAGAGCCCATAGTTTTTTTCTGAAAAATGGCTCCAAAACCACCCCTAGTTTTTATTAAATTTTCTAATATATATTGATGTCCTTATATTGCATAGAAAGTTTGAGCCAATTCTGAGAAATATTTTTTGAGTTATTAAAATTTTTTAAATGAGCCAATTTTTGAAAAATACCTTGTACTATAGCCCATGGTTTTTTCTAAAAAATGACTCCAAAGTCACCCCTAATTTTTATTACATTTTCTAATACACATTGATGTCCTTATGCTATCTAGAAAGTTTGAGCAGTTTCCGACAAAAAATTTTCGAATTATGAGCATTTTATCACTTTCATGCAGCACTCTTGACAGACACTACCATAATACATACCTTTTCTTATATCAATTCTAGCTATCTTTCCATGACTATTACCAACCAAGTAGTATCTATTAAATATAATAGAAAATTATAAATAAATTTTAAGATCATAGTAAAGACCTTCCATCACTTGATACATCCAAACAAGTGATTGGAGCTTCCTCCCATAACTTGCTATAAACTGGCCTCCTCTTTCCTCGAGTGTCATAAAGCCTCAACTACACACACACACACACAAAATATAGAAATTACTCAATTAAAAAAGAGGGCAGTATGTGATTCCTTACGTGATGATATCCTGTTCCCACGGCAATACAGGGACGTTCCCCAGTGTCTGGTACAAACCCAATGCTAGTAACCCAAACAGGAACTTGAAGATTGAGATAGTCATGAGGGACCTGGTATGGGATTCAAAAAAATTTATAAAGTGATTAATACTAATTATAATCTTTACATTTTTTGCTTTAAAAATAGGCAGAGCATCAGGCCTATTGCCATCCCATAATTTGAGATCGTTGTTCTTTCCTCCGGTCGCCATCATCAGATCAACTTCAGGACTAGCAGACATGACATCAACTGGCCCGCCCACACTAATCTCAGACTATAAAAAAATAATTTTCACTACAATAAAGAATAAAATAAGAGCACCTTCTTTTCCTGACTGTCTGGCCATATTGAAATGATTCCCTTGTCATTACAGGTTATTAAATTACTAATGAAATTGTAAAAATACTTTCAATAATAATCAAACTAACTGGCTATGCTTTGCGATGCCTACAAAGTGACCACACCCACCACCTCCTCCCAAATCAGTTTCGGCCGCAAAATAATTTCTCTGACAATCAAATAATAGAACCTTACCATTCCTTAGGCCCATATAAAACTAACAAAAAGAGTAACACACAACGATGGCTAGTTCTCTCACTCTTTCTTTGCTCTTGTGTTCCCAGGACATGCTCATTACTTCTCTCGTCCTATCACATTTTTCAAGAGGAAATCCTGCGGGTAAGAAACTAAGAGTCTGTTTATTGGATACAGAAAGACCTGAGGTATGATATAATTATGATAACTTGACTCCAATAAGCTCTCTAACCTTTTAAAACTCCTAAAGAAGTTCCTACCCAAACATCACCAATAAAGTCACTGGCCATGATGGTATCACGTGGGTGGGCGTGTATTCCACGCCTTTTTATTATTCTAAAGGCGTGGTCCTGTTATAAATTAAACATGGCCGCTGCAACTGCAGGTAAAGAAGAGCTCTTGCAGAGCGTTTTTGAGACTGTATGTGCTTCTGGTCTAGTCATCAAGAGGCAGCAAAGGGATGAGCCGGATTTGAACAAGAAGGAAAAGTTCGTACTACTAAGAGAATTGCTAGAATCATCTCCTGGTTGCTTTCTAATGAGATTTGGATCTGCACTGAATGAGAACCAGTTGCAATACTTTGATAATTATAATGACTATGAAGTGACCTACAGACTGAAAGAGTTCCGCAAGGGCCAGAGCCCTGATTATAGGAAAGGGATTATCAGGAACAGACGATACAGAGCCATTGAAGTGTTGACAGAGACAACCGACTATTTCACTGAACTAGTAATGAAGGAACGCTGCCCTTCTCTTTATCAGCAGTATATCGGCCAGTATTTGAGTGATCAGGAAAAGCGTAGGCTAGGAGAGGGTCAAGACCAACTTTCATTACTGGCACAAGTATTAGAAGGAGAGACAGATACTGAATCTGGGGAGGGAGAGAAACTGAGTGACAATCCTGTTGAAGCCATTCAAGAGAAACTCCTTTATCGCAAGGAGTTTCTGCGACTAATGCATCTGAGATTTTTGGATGGTAAAGATGATCAGGATTTTGATTACAGTACTGTGGATGGAAATATTGAGTATGATGACAGCGCAATAAAGAACAGAGACTTTGAAGATGAGTATTTTGACTCTGAAGAACCTTCTGAAATAACAGAAAAGGTGTCTAGATCTCCAGACACTGACAGATGATAATTAAAAATAATTATAGTTAATTAAATTTACACTTGCATAAAAACACAAATTGGTACTTTTTAATTGTTAATAGTAACATCATGAGTAATCATCCTCTCTTCATTTTTGTCTCTCTCATTAAACATGTGTTCATAATAAGACTCTATCAGTTGCTGTTCATTAATGACTGGGTTTCTTTCACGTCTTTTGTACTTTTTGACAGCAAAAACATAACAAATCAGAGCAAGAACACCCAGCACCATGTGCATGGAGTAGAAACCAGCCAAACAGTGTATTGCTCCCCATTTGACATCTTGGTTGTATTGCGATTTCATAAATGGCCCAATTATTAATGTAGCCAGTCCATTAAACATAGCTTGAACTGCAAAGAGAAGTCCCATCATGAATCCTTTGAATATTTCTGGAGTTTGTGCACAAATGAACTCAAGTGCTATAAATCATAGTTATATAGTACATGCATTAATCAATGTTTATCATACCTGCTATTTTTCCCAACATTTCAGCTAGTGTTAACAATAAGACTGGTATAAACACCAACCCAATATTACTGCTGTTTATGGTTGCATTAGTAGTAGATCTATTGCTGATATTAGTGGTGCATGTAGAGAAATCTTTTGATTTACTAGTGAGGTCTAAAACAAAAAGACTTATTAAACCAAGTAGCAGCAGCACAACTGCCAGCCCAATTCTCCTCAAAGTCCGAGGTACATATTTCTGAAGGCAAGGAAGTAGCAGGAACTCGTACACTGGAATGAGAACTGTGATTATTAGTGGGTTAACAATCCAATAAAAATTATCCAATGGCCAGCACACCTCAATATCTGTAAAGTATGTGCTCTTTTGGATTCGTTTTATGAAGTAGTGAACGCTGCTATAAGACTACAAGAGAGAAGGTAAGATATACATACAAATACATTTTAAAATCAACTTACTACTAGATACATGAATGAGAATATGCCTATAGCAACAATGGCAAATAGTAGATTTAAGAATGACTTCACGTCTTCAACTTGTTCATACTTAAACGGTCCTCCATACATTTCTTTTGCATAGTCTATTCTTTTAGGAGTAAAACTTTCATTGTAAGTAAAGGCACTACGTAATTCCGGATAAGAATGCCTCCAAGTGTACATGAGTATTTTTCTGATAAGTTGAAATGGATTTGATCTCTTGTAATGCACCTTCAGGATTCGTCCAAATATAAAATCACTCCCCAGAGCCAGTGAAAGAAGCAATGTACTAACAGTCAGAATAATGAACATGGAATACTCTGTACCATGGGTGTGGGTATACATGCACACAATAACATTCAATATACTCAGAGCCAGAAAACTTATATTTCTTGTCCAGTAGTAATAGCGAATGAATGCACTGGACTGATCTGAAGGTGCATCAATGAGATGGTTGAGGCCAAATAGTACTATGTTGACATCAAACCCGGCAAGAGAGATAGCGTTAATTATTAAAACTGCTATCTTCATGCCTAGTGAGATGCATATATTTTGAGGTATAAGACTTAGTAGGGCAATACCACCACTGATCCACATTAGCCAAATGGAGTATTTCAGAACACGATAGCGACCCAATTTTGTGTCTGACAACCAGCCAGCAAGCGGATAGAAGAGATCTGAGAGGACATAGTTTGTGAGAAGAACAAGAAACTCGGATAACCAAAAACTCTCTTGTTTTTGTTGGTTTTGACTGGTTACTAAACGGAGCACAATGAACTGGTATCCATACACCATAGAGTTCCATAACAAAAGCAAAGCAATAGGTTTCCTGAATAGCAGTGAGCGTTGGCTCCGAAGGTTAACTGAAAATTTCCTTTTAACTTTCTTTATAGGTTTATGAATTGAGGGGAAAGGGCTCTTTTCTCCTTCTCTTTGAGACATGTAGCCAGTTTCGAGTTGTTGTGTTTGCTCCATTTCCTTGCAGATATTTGGGCGGGGCTCAATTTTAAAGGCGTGGCTGAAAATGAGCCACGCCTCCAAATATTATCAAAATGCTCAGCAAAGAAAAAATGCAGAAGTTTGCACCAAAGAAGTGGCTTGAAATTTTGACAGACAAGTAAATGATAAAGTTTTTTTACTCTAAATTATTTTTTTCTAAAAACAGATTAAGGAAAGCAGCAAAAATCTGTCTACCAAAAGAGAAAGTGTTTCATGTTTATGCAAATGAAGTAGTCACTTACAGGAGCTGGTTTGACTATGTCATATTGTTTGTGGTGGTACTTCATTTCCTTTTCATTTGTTTGAATACCTATCCTTCTATTGTTGCCAGGACAAGTAGGTCAAAAACTAGTCAAAAATATTATAACAGCTGCTCTCATTTCAAATTTAAACACCCCCATCAATGCATGATTACTGTGATCTTTTTGTCACGTCTTCCATTCTTTCTTTCTATTCAGAGTGGTACTTCATGATAATGAACAGTTTCTTTTTTTCTGTCTACACAGTTGAATGCTCGCTCAGGATTTATGCTTTGCGGCTGGACTTTTTCAAAAGCCCATGGAATGTTTTTGGTACACATATGATTGCAAGAATTAAATTTGTGTACCCTCTTTACTAAATGCAGAAGCTTTGCTGTTTTTAAATATGGCTATTGACTTCATACTGATGATTTCGATTGGAAAGACTCCCGTATCTATTGTATTTTCTGTTATTGGTGCTTTTCTCCCATTGAGAATATTGAGACTCCTTCGAAAACTCAAGTACATCCACAAAAGTATCTTATGATGATGTTAAATTTTTTTGTAGCTGGTTGGAAAGTCTGAAAGTGATTATGAGCAATGTGGCACTCAAATCTGTGGCAGCTTTAAGCAGCATCATCTTGCTAACGTCATTGATATTATGTATCTGCCATTAAGAGAAGAAGTTCAGAGAGAGAGAGAGAGAGAGAAGAAAGCACATCATATAATCAATTTTTCAGTTCCTTGACTTTTTCTAGTTATATTTGCTGTCATAGGTCGTGGTTTATATTCAGAGGTTGATCCTGATCGGTTTGGCAACTTAGCAAAGGCCTCAATAACTTTATTTCAGCTCCTGACTCTTGATGAGTGGTACTACATGTATGCAGATGTGATTAACAATTATCCAAGTAATGGATTGCATGTTGGCTTGAAGCATAGACAGTTTCATTTCAGATTATCAACATATCCTGCTGTACTTGATGCTCTTCATAATTCTAGAGACATTTATATTTTTCAAGTGAAGCAACAAGCCTACAACCTTGTAATGTCTTTTTATTCTCTTTTTGCATTATAGCCTGTTCATTGCTGTGATAGTGGACAACTTGGCTGGAGCCACTGAGATAACTAGGAGAAATAAAGCATCCCACGCGCAAGGAAAGGTAGACCAATAATGTAGAAGTTATATTAATTGATATATCATGTGTATATATAGATTGATGTTGCACCAGACATTTTCAGTGGTGGAATGTTACAAGATGAAGATATGAAACGGCAAACTGTTGATGATTATTATCCTCAGCTTTCCAATAAGTAAAATAATCTGGAGCTTATTTTGATTTTGCAATTTCCTACAGAGACAAGCTTCTCCATAAGCGTTACTGGCAGTTGATTGCTTCTTTGGAACATCAGCTGCACACAACACATAGCCATCAAAAAACACTAAATGAACTAGTGGATCTAGTTGACTTCAGCAAGAACTAATGAAAATAACATTATTATTTTCACCATATAAGTCATATATAATTATTCCATTGCAGTTTTAAAAGATTAATTCTGCAAATAAAAATACATAATTGTCATTTCATCAATGTCCATGCTGTGACATAAATAATAATAAAAGTGATGGAGCAGTATTAGTGTGTAAGCACAAGCTGAGGTCATGCTCCAGTATAGACTGAAAAGAAATAAATATACAATAGAAAGATTGGATAGAGGACAAGGGGCTTCTTATGAGAGAGCTCTTCTTGTGCCAGTAAAGATCCTGCACTGAATGAAGCCCAGAATACAGCCATACCCTGCAAGGAGATACACACAGTTATCAATAGTCAAGCAATAGATGTGAACTGTTCTTGCCTTTAGTATGAAGCTGATCCATGGAACTGAGTGGTGGATGAGAGAGATGAGAGGAGCAGATATCAAAAGAGGCAACAAACAGTAACCCACTACACCAAGTGTCTGTGAACATGATACCTATAGGTCCACAATGTAATGGCATGCAAATAAATAGATATTATATTTTTAAAGTTAAACTAGCAAATTTTTAAAGTAAATGTATCAAAAAATGTAGAAAAATTTGAATGTTGTGATTTCACAGCCAGTTTGTGGGAAAACAGATAATAATTAATTTTTAGCATTTCTTAGAATTTTTTGTGTACTATATAATTTACCTCTCCTCCTAATACTCTTGTCAATAAGAACACAATGAATGAGCCTACAATCCATATTGTTAATATCCACGAGACAGCCTGTGTAAGAATGATAATAAATTAATATAAAAATGTCATACTTACATCCTAAGGCAACAAATAATAAATAATTATGAATATTATTATACAATTTACTGTTAATTGGCCGTATACAGAAAGCAATGCATATCCCAGGACAACAAAAAGCGGTCCCCAGAAATCAGGATTATCTCTTATGACGTGTCTCTCAAGACCCAGTGATGGTATCGGGAATAAAACACAACGTATCTTGTAATAAATGTCCTTTAAATCAATATCAAGCTCCTCCCTACAGTAATTATAATTAATTACTTATTTATCATACGAGATGATTTATTAGCAAGAGAAATATTTGGTGAAATTGTCTTGGAAAGTTAATTGGTGAATTTCATATTGGTAATTTATATTAGAGATTTATATTTGGCGATTTCTCATTTCTCACCAATAAATAATCTTGCTAAAATTCAGTCCTTGCTTTCCAAATTTATCGTACTCCAAAATATACCATTAAATAAATAATTGTCTTACAATAATGGTTTTTGTTCTTCCTCTCCGCCTTCATCATCAGTTTCCATTAACCAGCCAAATCCTTTACTCTCAAGATACTTTGAAGCGACACCAGCACTGCCTCTCTGACGGACCTCAAGATTTCCTGAAGGAATAGGAGGAGGAGAAGTGGAGGACTCGCTCCCAGGAGTGTAGAAATCTGCTGTACCAGAGACAATCCCATAGCCATCGGTAGCCATCTTGTTTTAGGGTGTGGTTTGGGCGGGACGACATTGTTAATTACACAGAAGTTTACTGGAATGTCCGGTGATATGGGTGTGGTAATGGGCGTGCACCAGTGACTAAGATTACGGTAATATACTGACGTGCAAACTATTTGGCGGGAAAGAGCATGGAAGATGGGTATCAAGAATCTCCTTCCATTTCTCCAGGGAGCCCAAAGGGATGTTCATCTTGCCTCGTTCCGTGGTAAAACTGCAGCAGTTGATGCCTACTGCTGGCTGCACAGAGGCGCCTACTCCTGCCCGTTTGAGCTGCAGCTCGCAAAGAAAGAAAAAATCCAAAACCTGTACAAACTTAAATGCTTTTGATTAATTTTTTAATTTTTATTTAGGCCCCTTCTCAATTTTTGCATGAAGAGAGTCAATCTGTTACGTCAGTATGACATCAACCCCATCCTTGTCTTTGATGGAGCCAACCTCCCCATGAAACATGACACAGAGAAAGAGAGAAAAGAGTAAGTAGCCAACGCCCATTTAGCTAACGACCTTTTATAGGCGTCGAGATAGCTACCGGAAGCAAGGAAAGGCGCTACTTAAAGAAGGGAAGGAGGCCGAGGCTAGAGAATGTTTTCAGAGATGCGTTGAGATATCTCCAGAAATTGCTTCGGCATTCATTAACCTTCTATATAAGGAAAAGGTTGAAGTAATAGTTGCTCCTTATGAAGCTGATGCTCAACTGGCCTATCTTGTTAAAGAAGGACTGGCTGATTTTGTTATTACTGAGGATTCTGATCTCCTGGCATTCGGAGTGTCACAGGTATTATTATTAGAATAATTACAAGAAATATTAACAAGAGCCTGCATTAACATGTATTTTCTTACTACATTTAATTAAGTCTTCTCTTCTCTCTCAAAACAATATTTATGCACATGTACATGCACACACACACACACACATCCTGCCATACCTAATATTATTCTACACAGTACCACACACATTTAGAATGCAAATGCAGAACAATAGGAAAACAATAATATTATCATTATTTTTTATTAATATCACCAAAAACGATGATATTGTATTAATATTATTTTTAGGTTTTCTTCAAGATGAATGACACAGGTCATGGCAAACTAATGGAGCTTAGAGATATTGCTAAAGGCAATCCTTCATTAAAAGTTAGTAGTTAGAATTGATTAATGGATTTATTAAATGCTCTAATTGATAGGGTTTTACCCCTGATTCTTTCCGTCACTTGTGTATATTATGTGGGTGTGACTATCTTCCATCAGTTCACGGTATTGGCCCAGTCACAGCTGCTAAATTAATGAAGAAATGCAACAAAGACCCTTACAAGGTATGTACATGTACATGTATACTACATGTACATGTATGCCCCAACTGAGTTTGACCCAAGAAAAACTGGAATAACTTTTTATTGGAATGTGGGATAAGGATGAAGCTTTCATAGGTTTCTTAGTTGCCCAATGCCGTCACAGGATCTCAGTTCTTGGGTCTCTCAGCCCTTGGGAACCCTCAGACAGGGTTCTCCCTATAAACCCAATGGCATACCAAACCGTCTACCTTATTGTTTACGCAAGAACACGTGGTTGCATGCTTCTTTCTTAAAAAGCTAACAGAGCAAGATCTTACTTGATAATGATAGCCTTCGTGAAGGCTAGTTGACTCCAGCAGCTATTGTGTACTGTTCATAGACTCTGTAGAGATTTAGCATTTACATATACCTCATGCCTTATGGTAATTATGGAGTGGAATTTTGTAGAATTGCATGATTGGAAGGTTTTATTTTGGCAAATTTGTTGTCATGTGCCATTGAGCATGTGCGTCAATAGTTAAAAATAGTGGGTTTTATGTTTTATTTTAGCAAATGGTTAAATAGAAGTACCACCACAGGTCATTAGGTATCTCAAAAGTGGTTCCAAGCATAAAGTACCTCCTGGCTATGAGGAACACTTTCGTCAAGCTGATCAAGCGTTCCTGTACCAGCTGGTGTTTGATCCTAGATCACAGTCACAGGTCAGGCTCAACACACCTCCCCCTGATGTAGAGAAACTTGAATATGCTGGAATGTATCCTTTTCATATGAGAGAAAGAGAGGGAGAGAGAGAGAGAAAGAGAGAGAGAGAGAGAGAGGGAGGGAGAGAAGAACCAGGCTATTCTAGACTAAACAAGTTTATTCTTGTAATTTTTAGAATTGTTTTTATTTTTCTTGATGTGTTTGTATAGTTTTAATTCCCCTTCCAAGCAGGTTGGTCTTGCACGTGGTAACATAAACCCACTGACTCTAGAGGAGATGGACCAGCACTCACCAAAAGTAGAATAATATAAAAATCAAATACATTGAATCAAGTCTCTTTTTATTTTATTTTCTTATCATTGCTGATCTTTTATTATTTATTATGTGCATATTATTAAGACGATGAATTATTATTTAAATAAATTTTTAAACCTTTTATTTTTGTAAAATTATGTCTAGTGTAAAAAGGGTGCGGCTTTTACCAGCTTGCAGCGGCATTCCTCCTGGAGTGGATCTGTGCTAAGTAGGAGTGGCTCAATATCTCGGCAGACAACTCTGCTACCAGTTTCACAGGAAGCTAAGAAAGATTTTAAGAAATGTCGAACATTAAAAAGTAATGTTATCAGACAGTAGTGTCTTGAATTATAATTGTAATTACTAGGGGCTTCCCCTGATGAAGATGATGCACTTAGTATGGATGATTTAAAGCTTTTGTATAGTGAAAAAATGAATAATTCACAGTCAGAGGAGGAAGTGAGAGGGACGGTTCAAGTGTCTAGTAGGAATGTCTTCTCTAAAGTCACTGTCAAATCAAAGTAAAAATAATAATAATCAGGGCAGGATTTTCTGCAAAAAGCATGCTTCATGAGCTGACAAGCAGTACATGTACATGTGTACATGGCTTTGGGGCTACTTCAAAAATTTATTAAAAGATTAATTTTAATTGGAATCAGCTCAAATTTGCTATACAGCATGTGAACATGAATATGTATCAGAAAAAAGTATAAAAATGGATGATTCTCTCTTAGTCATTTTTGGAAAAATTTGGCCAAAGACCCTGTTATAGTACATTGACTTTAGCCCGATTTTTAAGTAACTCTACTATAAAAAATTTTTTTAATCTAATTTTGGTTGGAATGAGCTCAAAATTTTTGTACAGCCAGCACAAGAACATGTGTATGTATTAGAAAAAAGGAAAACCTGCATGTATGTCCAAATCCTGTGGACTTGCTTCAAAATTCAAACCTTAAACCATGCATGATGCATCTCTCTTTCTCTCTCCTCATTTAGGTATTTTGCTAGTAGTACTTCTAACGTTGACAGTCTGTCTTGTTTAGATGCATTAGCTCAAAATGAGACTCAAAATATAGTAAATGAAAAGGAACCTTCATCAAGCTCAGTCGACTCTGGGCTTGGGAATGAACTAGACGAGAATGAGAAAGAAAACATTGAATCTGACAATCATGAAATAGAGAGTGACAGCAGTCAAGACGACGAAAAAGACATTAATATTAGTGATGACAATGACGATAAAGAAGAAATAAATGATATAAGAACATTTGCTGTTGATGAAGTCTCTGAAATCCTTACCAGTGATGAAGGATTGAACTCAAAATCCCAACACAGTAAACGTAAACTTTTCACAAGTGAGACTATAGAAACTAAGAGACCTAAACTCTCTGCAAGTACTAGTATTGATGTACCAGATACTCCTACTGATACTGAGGATTGCTTTATTGTAAAATCATCTCCTTCAACTCTGAAATGTAAAGCAAGTCCTTTACCTTTTAGACTAGGTAAGAAGACCTCTCATTTTATATTAAAGCATCACTTTATAGTCTATTGCATGTACTAGTATTAAATTATTGTGTGTGTTTCTTAGGTTTGTCAAGAAAGGCAACACCAAATGCAAAGTCTTCATTTAAGTCACCACGACTGGCTACTGGCAGCTCATCCTCATCCTTACTATCTTATTTCAGTTATAAACAGTGAGTGAGTTTTATTGTTGTTAATTTTTAATGCATTTTTATATTATTTTAGGAAAGATAAATTATGAATAACGCATTATTTATAATTATTATAATTCAAAAAATAAAAATCAAAAAATAATAATATACAGGGTCTTTGGCCAAAAATGAAGAGGAGAAATTCTTAATTTTTATATTTTTCCTGATACATATACATGTTCTTATACTGATTCCAATTATATTTGGATTTTTTTACAAATTTTTACAGTTGCTACCAACAATACATGTACACACTATTCTGGACGCCTTGGGACTCAATATACTGTCGTGATTTTAAAAGTATCTTTATTGTAGAAGACTAGAAGTTCATTAATACACATTTATATTGTATTGGACTTTGCTGTATAATATACAATAATAGAAGGAAGAGGATATCAATGGTCTTAACTCTAATGACAACTCTAGCCATTTTCACGCTTTCTTCAGGTGCAAATGAACAAATATTCTGATAGTCTAAATGTAATTAGAAATTGACAAGCTGATGATTTAGTCTCACGGCGCCAGACCACACCACGGAGGGTGTAGTCTGCATAGCCCTGCAAGACTATTGGTGATGATTCTGATCATATCTATACGGCTCTGGTGTAGATCTGTAGTCTAAAAATTTAGGGGCAGGTTTCCAGACTACATATTTTGATGTGAACTGAAAGTGTACACATGTATTCATTGAGATACAAAACTTACATGTGCATGGTTTAAGTCATATGCATTTGTCACAATAAATGTGTTATTGTTTTCAATTGTCATGTAGCTTATGTTAATGAAAAATAAACTAATTTCAATGAGTGACACATATACATCTTATGCACTTTGCTTGTGTAAAAGAAAACCGTCATGTATATAGTTTCAATTTGTCAAAACATAACAAAACTGTAACCTATAGTTTTATTCATTTTATTGTTAAAATGGCAGTATCAGGAGTGAGGCATGGTGGAATCTGTTATACTAATGGATCGTATTTTTGGGATAGTAGTGTCAATGGAGTTTCTAAAGCTATATCGTGTGTTACGTGGTACTAATCTAACTACTGGTCAGTGGGTTAGAGTTGCTGATCCTGATGATCCTGTTGACTGTAACAGTAATAATGACAGTGATCCTTTTTGCTGTACCAATGTCGCTTCACCTGATGCTAATCTTAGTCTTTATCTTGCTCAGTCACTACCAGTAGCTCAAGAAGGCTGGTACAAGTGTTGTCTACCCACTAACATTTGCAGCATTTTTATTCTAGTGTTACTATCTAATCAAGTTCAGTATTAAAACAATGAACAATAGCTAACAGAAACTGCTGTATAAAGAAAATGCCTTATTAGGAGCTTCTGTCAAGTTCTGTGAAAAACACTGGCAAGATGGAAAATATCTCTTTCAATGCTTGCCAGTTGCCACTACCTAAACCTATTTCTTTCAGAATTAATTGATTTCCTTGTGAGGTTCAACTACTTTTCTTTAAAATCATAAAGAAGATACACATGTACAAAATAAAACAACTTCATTAACCTATGATGATAATAATAGCATTTTATAATATTTATTTATTTTGGTTTTATGGCTTTTTGTTGTGTTTGTCTCCTGTTTCTCTTTTTCTTTCCTTATGGGGTTTCCCTTTTAGTCTCTCTCTTTTGTCCTGATTGAGTCATTATTCTTGTAATAATAATAATAATAATAATGCATGCCAGCATAACAAATAACAACAACAATTCAAAAATGAAGATATAATAGTAAGGAAACAAGATACAGGGTCAAAAATTACTTAATACTCAAAAACAAAACAGGAATGTATTATAAGTAACGTATATACTCTCCCTAAAATGCAGTGAGAAGAGATTGCCTGTTGGTTTATTATAAGTAAAAACATGCACTGTCTCTACTACTGTATGTCCTATTGAAGTTTGTCTATTATAATATTGTGTTCATAAATGTCATGTGATCATCATGAGCTTGATCTGTGGGCGGGTAAGTATCTCTTAGTGAGGTGGTCAGGGTTGTGTTTGTGTTGGTGTATAATATTTATGCTGCCATCTGGCTCCATAACTGCTTTGACTTGAATTATCCCATTAGAACTACACTAAGTCTATTTACAAAACTAGACCTACATTTATTTGCTGAGCTATCACAACAGTTTCAGATGATTTGATAAACACAGACATTTCTTTGGTCAACAATGTTTTCACTACAAGTGGTTGTCTTCTTGTTGAGTGTCAGTGAAGTTATTAGTCAATGTCCACCTTCCTCAGGTAAGACACTGGATGTGTATAATAACAACTGTATAGGTTTTATAGGTATCTACCTGAAGCATGATGGAACCTGTTATACTAATAATGGATCATTTTTCACTGATGATAGTATCAGACCAACAACTCCTCTAGAGTGTGTATTACCTGGTGCTATTTTAAATGGCGGACAATGGATTGGTCCTAATGGAACAGTTCCTTGTGATGGTGGTAGCAATCAAAACGTTCAATGTACTACTGGATCAGGTGCTAACCTCAGTGTTCACATAGCTATTTCAAACTATCTTGGGGCAGATGGTGATGGTCAGTATATGTGTTGCCTACCCACTAATTGTTTAACTCCTGGTACTAACATCATCACTGCTACCATATTCAGTAAGAGGAGACTATAATCACTTACTGATGTAATACTCATTTGTAGAGTTTGCAGAGATAGAATCATTTACAGTTGCTGATCTTCCTTCTGATATGACAGTGTATCCTCAGGAATACAAACTAAATTGTATTAAAATTGGATTCAATATCTATGATATTAGCATGAACATTGGTAATACTGCACTGGCTAGTTACACTGGATGTAATGATGATGGTAGTGATAATTGCCCTGGTACTGATTTAAGTGGTCCTGTTGTATACACAGTAAGATATACTGTTAATATCACATGGGATGGAATGAGTGTCAGTAGTGGATCAATCAGTCAATCAACCACTGGAGATCAAATGTATCAGTGTGTAGTGCAAGTTCCTGATCAGCCAACTAGAATACGTAATGCAACTGTAAAAGGTAGTGTCAATGAATGCCAATAATTTTTATTACCAATAATATTAGTACCAGCAACTGCTCCCTCTTCTCTTACTGAGGTCCACAAGACAGCTACCACTATCACTGTCAGTTGGACTGCACTTGATTCATCTGATGCTGATGGATATGTAGTCAATGTCACTAGTGACACAGACACTGTTCAGACAGTACAGGTGGAGGGAAGTAGTAATAATATAATCACACTGAATGGACTGAATATAGAAACAACTTATAGCATCACGGTCAGAGCCTATCAACAATTACTGGGACCTGCTAGTACAATCAGTGTATAGACCTTACCAGGTATTGCTACTGCACCTTTTAATGTACTACTAACATTGTTGATGTATTTCTAGTTATTAATTCAATCAATTGGACACTAGTCTCATCCATTACACAACTCATTAACACTCAATATTGTGTTGATTGTCTCACAACTACTGATATAAATCCTTCAACTGATGTTTACTGGTTAGTGAATGGAGTGATGAAAAGTAACTCAAACTATCCATCAATTGATTTCCTGACATACAACAACACACTACTGGTATATCCTGATCCACTGGGAGTGTCTGTTAATGTTACCTGTATAGCAATGATTGGAGGAGTCAACTACAATCAATCTGTGATATTACATGGTATGATTATATTTTAATCAATAGTAGATACCTCTGTCTCTTTTCTAGCTCCAAGTGGTCCTCCAAATAATGTGAGAGGATTCATATTAAATGCTAATAGTATCAAAGTGAACTGGACCAATTCATCAGAGATTAATGGATATGTGATTGAGTACACTACTGGAGGTGTAACCAGGAATGTAGTATCTACCAGTGAAGATGAACTTGTATTACCAAATCTCTCACCAATGAGTACCTATACCATCAGTGTGTACTCATATATAGATCTTCCATCAGTTAATAGTACAGTAACAGTGTTAAGATTTGATAGTGAGTTATTATGATTGAGAGATTGTAATTGATATCTGTTGTAGTTCCTAGTCCAGTAACTAGCCCCTCAGTATCTAATGTCTCAACCACTGGTATTACAGTGAGCTGGACTATTCCCAGTAGTGACAACTATGTAACATACTACACCATCTCCTATACTCCATCTTGTTCCCAGTTATCATCAGTAAATGAGACAGTCTTTGTTGCTCCTCATCAGTCCACTGCAACACACAGTTATACATTAATAGGTCTGTACAGTGGTATGAACTATACCATCACAGTGAGAGCTGGTAATGTACTAGGAGGATCTGATCCTAGTTCCATTAATGAAAATACTTTGCCAATAGGTATATATAATGATGACAAATTAATAATTACAATATTTTACTTTGTATACAGTTCCTAGTGGGATACCTGGTTATTTGTTTTTATTACAACCAATTAATAATCTCACTTGGAATGAGGTCAATTGTTCTCAGCGTAATGGTCTAATCACAGGCTATACAGTGATTATCAGTAACAGTAGTATCACATACAACCTCACCAGTACTGAGAGATATATCATATTAAATGATCTAGTATTTGGTACTAAATATAACATCAGTGTAGCTGCTGTCAATTCTGTTGGAAGAGGTCCCTTCAGTGATCCTATTGTAGTAGAGATTGGAATAGGTATGTAATTATTATACTATATCAGCTCTGTGAGAATGTATCTTTATTTAGTACCTGGTCCAGTTGGTTCAGTATCAGGTATTATGGACACTACATGGGCTGTTATCTCATGGAGTGTACCTAGTTATATTCCATCAGACTATCCCATTATATCATATGAGATAGGATATCATATCTCACAGTGTGGTAGCTGTTTGATGGTAGATGATAATAACATTTTATCTAAAATATTACAATTCCATAATTCAACAAATGGCAATACATTTACTACTAGAATTACTGGTCTTGATGCTATGTCTTGTCATATTTTTGGTGTGCGTGCATACACAGACAGAGGACCTGGTGGATGGATCTTCATTGCTAATGAGACATTGATCAGTACTCAATTTGTGACACTAACATTAGTAAATACTCAAGAAGTAGGATCAACTAATACAGGTGTAATAATAATTGTTAAATGTTCAGACAAAAATGATCTCAAAAATTTCTTATTAATAGTATCAGGAGCTGTTGATAGTGCTAGTATTGGACTAGGTGTAGTAGTTGGATTGCTACTGATATCACTTGCTATTAGTATCATTATTAACATCTACTGCTTTCTCAAGTATGAATACATTAAAAACCATAAAATACAATTTCAGTGTTGCATATGAACAGGCTTAAAACCTATGATACAACCACTGCTAAGCAAACAAAGTAAATAAACACTCATTAAAGACAAGTAAATGTTTGTACATTACTATTGTTTATGATAGGTTTGATGATGATATACCAATGCAAGCCTGTGAACCGTATGGTATTCACAAGACTGAAGATGTTACAAGAGAGGCAGTATATGAGTGTCCTGATGTCAATGTTAATGATACTGCTATTTATGAAACATAACTAATGAAACAGTAAACCCTGACAGTGGAATTTAATATACATGTACACTGTGTGTGTGATACAACAGTATAAAATGTCCATGTGCTTGTTTGTTCATTTTGTAGCTGGATAGTGTGATATAGATATATACAAATACATACATACTTTTCTAGATATACATTTCAGTTCTGGAGTGTCACTGTATTCATACTGAGTCTATTATACTGTATAATCACATTAGTGTTATTGTAGCTACTTTTAGTCAAAATTTTGCAGTTTTTTCTATTGATGTTATCTAATCAATGAAGTTTCAGTTACTTTATATAGTATGGTGTTATGGATAAAACTAAAACTAAGGAAAATACTCTGAGGACACAATAACAGGAACTGCTATATGAAGGAATGCCTCACACTACTCTGATCTTAAATATCTTCATTAGCATTAAAAATTTATACAGTCAATGCTTGCTAGTTGTCACATATGTATCTAAACCTAATTTTAATTTGCTTTCAAAAATTAACTCATTTCCTTGTGATCAAGGTTTGACTACTTTTCTTTAAAATTATAAAGAAGATACACATGTACAAAATAAAACAACCTCATTAACCTGCTTTAATCTGATAATAATAATAATAATAATAGCTAATAAAGATACAATAAAAAAAATCAAGATACAAGGTAAAAAATATTCAAAAACAAAAAGGAATGTATTATTAAAGACAATTTAATGCTATGAGTCCTACAAAAAATAATGTATGTACATGTACTTTATGCTCCCTAAAATGCAGTGAGAAGAGATTGCCTGTTGGTTTATTATAAGTAAAAACATGCACTGTCTCTACTACTGTATGTTCTACTGAAGTTTGTTTATTATAATATTGTGTTCATAAATGTCATGTGATCATCATGAGCTTGATCTGTGGGCAGGTGAGTATCTCTTAGTGAGGTGGTCAGGGTTGGTGTATCAATTTTAGTGAGGTGTTGGTGTTGGTGTTTAATATTTATGCTGCCATCTGGCTCCATAACTGTTTTGAATTCAAATTAATTATCCAATTAAACAATTAGCCAATTATATTATGTGTTACTATGATCATAGCCATGCCTTATGCTAACATTTTGCAGAGCACTGCAGAATACCGGTAATTGCATTTTTGAGCAGAGCAGGCAGCCTTGGCATTCCATCGTGATAATCTTAATTTTATAGTTTTTCCTCTTAAAAATGTACATACATAATGTACACTACAAACTCTTTTAACACTACACAGCAAATTTAAGATCTATTTGCACCAAATGGTCTCTCTTGTATAAGTTGTAATGGTAAATCCCTTTAATATTATGTAGTATTGTTGCTGCTATTGTTACATTATGTAGTCATGTGCACACAGAGAGTGGGCCACACTATACTCAGTACACTGTGAATCTATTTACAAAACTATCTACTGAGCTATCATATTTTTAACAGTTTCACATGATTTGATAAACACACCCACAGACGTTTCTTTGGTCAACAATGCTTTCACTACAAGTGGTTGTCTTCTTGTTGAGTGTCAGTGAAGTTATTAGTCAATGTCCACCTTCCTCAGGTAAGACACTGGATGTGTATAATAACAACTGTATAGGTTTTTATAGGTATCTACCTGATGCATGATGGAATCTGTTATGGTAATGGATCATATTTTTGGGATAATCATGTAAATGCAGTTACTGAAGCTATATCATGTGTGATACCTGGTACTAATCTAACTACTGGTCAGTGGGTTAGAGTTGCTGATCCTGATGATCCTGTTGACTGTAACAGTAATAGTGACAGTGATCCTTTTCATTGTACTAATGTCACTTCACCTGCTAATCTCAGTCTTTATCTTGCTCAGTCACTACCAGCAGCTCAAGAAGGCTGGTACAAGTGTTGTCTACCCACTGATTGTTCACATCCTAACACTTACATCATCTTTGCTAATATATTCAGTAAGAGGAGACTATAATCACTTACTGATGTGATAATTTTCATTTGTAGAATATGCAGAAATAGAATCATTTACTGTTGCTGGTCTTTCTTCTGATATGACAGTATATCCTCAGGAATACAAACTGAATTGTACTAAAATCGGACACACTAGTTATAGTATTAGCATGAGCATTGGTAGTACTGCACTGGTAAATTATATTGGATGCTATGATCAATTTGCTATTTGTCCTGGTACTGTATTAGTTAGTAGTACCAACACAATAAGATATACTGTTGATATCACATGGGATGGAATGAATGTCAGTAGTGGATCAATCAGACAATCAACCACTGGAGATCAAATGTATCAGTGTGTATTGGATAATATTGGTGGTGCTGATAGAATACGTACTTTAACCATAAAAGGTAATGATGGTTCATGTTTAAGTATTATCTCTCTTTCCATTAGTACCAGCAACTGCTCCCTCTTCTCTTACGGAGATTAACAAGACAGCTACTACTATCACTGTCAGTTGGACTGCACTTGATTCATCTGATGCTGATGGATATGTAATCAATGTCACTAGTGACACAGACACTGTGCAGACAGTACAGGTGGAGGGAAGTAGTAATAATACAATCACAGTGAATGGACTGAGAGTACTAACAACTTATAGCATCACAGTCAGAGCCTATCAACAATTACTGGGACCTGCTAGTAGTACAATCAGTGTACAGACCTCACCAGGTACGGCAACTGAAGCTTTTAATGTACTATTAACATTGTTGATGTATTTCTAGTTATTAATTCAATCAATTGGACACTAGCCTCATCCATTACACAACTCAATAACACTCAATATCGTATTGATTGTCTCACAACTACTGATATAGATCCTTCAACTGATGTTTACTGGTTAGTAAATGGAGTGATGAAGAATAACTCAAACTATTCATCAATTGATGTCCTGACATACAACAACACACTACTGGTATATCCTGATCCACTGGGAGAGTCAGTTAATGTTACCTGTATAGCAATGATTGGAGGAGTCAACTACAATCAATCTGTGATATTACATGGTATGATTATATTTTAATCAATAGTAGATACCTCTGTCTCTTTTCTAGCTCCAAGTGGTCCTCCAAATAATGTGAGAGGATTCATATTAAATGCTAATAGTATCAAAGTGAACTGGACCAATTCATCAGAGATTAATGGATATGTGATTGAGTACACTACTGGAGGTGTAACCAGGAATGTAGTATCTACCAGTGAAGATGAACTTGTATTACCAAATCTCTCACCAATGAGTACCTATACCATCAGTGTGTACTCATATATAGATCTTCCTTCAGTTAACAGTACAGTAACAGTGTTAAAATTTGATGGTGAGTTAATATCATTGAGAGAGTATAAGTGATATGTGTTGTAGTTCCTAGTCCAGTAACTAGTTTCTCAGTATCTAATGTCTCAACCACTGGTATTACAGTGAGCTGGACTATTCCCAGTAGTGACAACTATGTAACATACTACACCATCTCCTATACTCCATCTTGTCCCCAGTTATCATCATTGAATGAGACAGTCTCTGTTGCTCCTCATCAGTCCACTACAACATACAGTTATACATTAATAGGTCTGTACAGTGGTATGAACTATACCATCACAGTGAGAGCTGGTAATGTACTAGGAGGATCTGATCCTAGTTTCATTAATGAAAATACATTGCCAATAGGTATATATAATGATGATACATTAATAATTACGATATTTTACTTTGTATACAGTTCCTACTGGGATACCAGCTGGTTATTTGTTTTTATTACAACCAGTTAATAATCTCACTTGGAATGAAGTCAATTGTTCTCAGCGTAATGGTCTAGTCATAGGCTATACAGTGATTATCAGTAACAGTAGTATCACATACAACCTCACCAGTACTGAGAGATATATCATATTGAATGATCTAGTATTTGGTACTGAGTATAACATTAGTGTAGCTGTTATCAATTCTGTTGGAAGAGGTCCCTTCA